AGAAGCAGAGTAAGTGCTAGAATAAAAGGATTCAGCATACCTGACTAGGCAACACCCGCCACCAGGTGGGATCCAGAGATGCAAAGGAAAACAACTGTTTCTGAAATGGTTAAAAAGGGGATGCATAAGTGAAACCAAAATGTCAACTTACCCCAGTTAAAGGCAAAGTACGTGTGGAGAATCATGACAGGTGGAAGATGATACCTGACTGAGGAGGATACAACAATATTGTGCAAATAATGTGCCATGAATGTATTGGGAGTTGTCCACATTTCCATTTGTACAATCTCTTCCAAAGAACAGCAGATCTGAGCAGCTAAAGACAAAGTAACATAGCGTATCTGGTGAGATGACACATTAAACAGCCAATGATCTTCCATCACCAAGTCAGAATAAGCTGGATGGATCAGTTGCCGAACCCAGCCTGTAAGGTTAACAGGAGAAAGATCATGGGAAACGGAGGGATTCCAGTGTATACAGTTTGGGATTACGAAGATGTGAGCAGGAGCCAGTCTTCCATGTAATGGTGAGTCTGAAGAAGCAACGAATAAAGATGATGTGCAAAGGCACAGACAACCCAACAAGAACACATAAGGAGCCGAGGCAAGACTAAATGGTAGTGCATGGAACTGGAACACATACTCCCAGTGGATGAACTGAAGATAATGACGTGCCTCTTGAGCAATGGGGATATGAAAAATAAGCATCTCTCACATCAAATTTGGTCTACAAAGACCCAGGGGGAAAAACCCACCAAAGAAAGAGGTAGGATGAATCCATGGTGAATCAGGGTGTGCTAGAAAGGCATGCAGCCGAGATAGTTCAATAACAGGTCTCCTAACTCCTGTCTTTTGGGGGAGAACAAACAGACAGGAGTAAAAACCCAGACAAACAGCCACAATGCATTCTACACACCCTTGTGAAGAAAATCAAAAACAAATGAAAACACATGTCTGAACACTGTGCCAAGTGAGACAGTGTGGACTGTGCTGCAATGGTAGAGCTACCTGTGCTAGTGTAGAGGGCACAATAGGATTGGTGTAGGGTGTTCACATGATTAGCACATGTTGCTGCAATGATGCAAAAATAAAGGGGTATAAAAGACAAGTGCACTGTTCATAAGACTTACCAATGCTTAGAGGGCAAATGAAGGTCGAGATAGCTACGGGGTAGAGGAAGTAGTACCATTTCGGAAAATTGAAGTAACATAAAAAAAGTCAAATATATGAATTATCAGAGTATATAAGAATGAAGGTGGAATTATCTGGTTCTCATCTAGGAGAAAAGAACCAGAAATAATGGGATAAGAAGAACTGGTCAAAATCATTCAAAGATATTGTACACTTAGCAGAAACTAAAGAAGTAGGAGGCCATGAGCCCTGGATCTGAGACAAAGAATGTGGAAGAGATTCAACATTCTTGATGCATAATAGCAGCAACAATGCTTACTGGCATAGTACCTCCAGACTCCAACTGTAGTAGTATAAGACAACTCCTGGTCAGGAATGTCAGGATATCAAGAAACTTTGGAAACATGGAGGGGAGAATTCATAGTCCAGATAATCCATGAAAGTGGATTTTTTTGTATCTTTCCTTTGTTGAATTAAGAATATGAGATTATGAAACATAAAAATACTTATATGAGAAATACTTCACACAGACAAATAATTCTTTAAAAATCCTTCTAAAATCTAACTTCCATCAACCAAAACATAATATCAACCATTCAAATAGAAAAAAAAACCTAGAGCACTGTCATTTCTGTACATCTTCATTCACAAGTAAGATGATTATCTTACCACTAGAGTATGTACAAACCCCCCACACACACAAACAGGTATTTGTATTACAAATCCAACCAACTAGAGCCAATGTACCACAAGCTATAAAGATCTAAGTTCTCAATCTTTAAAATATTGAGAAGAGCAAATTTTTTCTTTTAATTTTAATCTTGCTCCAATCCTTAGTAACATCCCAACCACCAATGTAACAGCTTCCACAGGAAAAGTGGCTCAAAAACTCTCAATAATAAGTGATAAACTCAACTCTCTAGCAACACAGAATCTTACCCAACAAGAATGGGTGCCATTCAAAGCTTGTGAAAAGATCCTGCAATATATATTTTACTAAAAGAAAAAGTAAACTACATAGTAATAATCAACAAGACAGTTTATGAAGAAACACTACAAACAATAATCAGACAGGACCTTCCAATGAACTAAAAAAAAGGCCTTACAAACAAAATAGGAAAGTTCAAGAAATTTATCAAGAAACTGAAACCAGAAAACTATCAAACATCTGTTAACAACAGAAGAAAAGAATTAGTACCCAAAATAGATGGGGCTGATGTTCCACTCAAAATAACAGAAAGTACTGTAGACTCAACTTGTCAGCACAAAGCACAATTGCTAAATACAGTAACTCAACCCAATGACTGTTAATTTTACAGAGCAAAAAAATGCAGAATCCCAAGCATTCATAATACACGGCCATGACATTTGCAAAAACAAAAAAGATGCAACTAATAATACAACACTAATAACAGCTTCTTAAAATAATACATTAGCTCTATAAATGTGAAGACAGAAGATAAAAATAACTTTTTTTTTCACACATTTAACTTTATTGGACACATTAATTTTTCCATTGGACAATAAATGATCTGTTTTCAACTTACATGTTAAACCAAACGTAATAATTTAGCAGATTCTGCAACATAATCTTGGAAAAACTAAATTCCTACTAAACCAAAAATACAATAAATTTTAGATATTTTATTAAAGATTGTGAGAATTTTAAAAGATAAGAGAAATTATATGGGTTCTTATAAAATACTGCTCAATGTCTTTCCTTGAATTACAGTTTCTCTTGTTTTAAAAGGAAAGAAGTATCTTTTTAATCCCAGCTTTCGCAATATATAAATCTTTTAAAACTTTAAATACTGCACTGAGTTGAAGAAAATTTATTGTACGTGTATCATAAATACAATAGCACTTATATTAGCAATGGGCCAGATGTGCAATATAAATTAAAATCTCAAACACACTGCAAACAGCATGTAAACAAAACTTTATAAGCACTTTACACACACTGTTGAATAGTAAACAAACCAATGCAGGGTAACAAGCCACCAAAGCATTTGAGAAAGTTGGTAGAGTAAAAACAAAAATTTCACAAAACCACAAATTTGTCTATCTGACTGACTAACGTTGTTGGAAAAGCACAGCTCTCTCCTGTATTCACCTTATGCAAATCTAAATGCACATGAATGAATTATGCTACCTTGGCTAAGAACATTTTTCTTAGTTTTACTTATAATCTTGGTAACAACAAGAAATAACAATAATCATTTTGCAACACTACTAACAAGGTAGTTAACACTAGTAGCCATATTCTACGATTACTAGCATGCTCTGCAAGTTGCCAAGTAATAACTTGCCCTCGTATCACATGTAGGTGCACAAATGCTTATGCGCATGCACTACATGATCAGTCTCCAGCTGTATCAGCAAGATAAAAAAACTTGGACTATGTAGATTCTCTAGATCTAGGTTCTAACTATGATCTAATCTTTGAAAACAGAGAAATTTAGTTATATACACCTTTTATTTTGAACAATTAACAAATTAAAAAAGCACATGAAGTAGAAATGGGTGGAATGATGACCACATCCATTTTGAAGTTGCACAGTGTCAAAAACCACCAAGTGTTGTAATGTTATCCTTCCCATTACTACCTTGTTTCTTAATTTTTTGGTGCCCCCACTCCTAATACTTTTATTTAAAAATTTTATATACTTGTATGTAATAAAGTCTTCTCAAAAATGAACAACACTCTCTGGAAAACGAGCACTGTTCTTTCTAAATATTTTAAGTTTTTATATATTATTACACTACACTAAAGACTATCCAGGTGATATTTCCCATATTTGTAATTTGGCAAAATACCCTTAAATTTAGTTTGTAAATTATCAGAATGGGTCGTTTCTCATAAATTTATAAGAGCAACTTAAAAAACTCAGAAAGCCTATTTAATTTGAAATCTAAAAAAAAAAATGAAAGAAGCACTAAAACACTGAACTGTGGGAAAGGGTTCACAAAAAAGCTAATAAGATTATATCTGGAATGGTAAAATAGTCAAATGAGGATAGGTTAAGATCTCTGAACTTGCTTTCTTTTGAGAAAGGAAGAGATAGATTGGATCTGGCTGAGGTGTTTAAGAATGTTAAGCAAATTGATAGTGTTGATGCATCATCTTTTTTGTACTTAATGGTGTAAATGGTAATACTAGGGGACAAAACTTTTGGCAGGGTAGAAGTCATCTTCAATTAAGACAGCTTTATTTGTGTAATACTGTTAACTTTGGAACAGGTTGCCTTCAGATGTGGTAGATGCAGTTAATTTCAGGGACTTGTGAAAAAAGTTGATAGACATTTGAATGACAAGGGCTGGCTTTGAGGTTTTTTTAGTGTTTAATTTAATTTGGTGGATAGAATGGCCTAGATGAATTAAAAGGTCCCTAGCTGTCCTATAATGTTATATGAATTTTCCTAAACTTTTTGACAATTATAGAAAAAAAAAGGTAAAATATGAACTATTAAATAGTAAACTATGAAATTATCTTTTAATTTATACCATAATTAATTACTTTACAATCTGTAAAGACCAAATGCTGTTACATGTAATATTTTTATACATTTTTCAATAGTCTGCAGGTTTTAGTGAGTGATACATGTTTTTTTTTTAAACCCTACAGTGGCAAATTTTGTAAAACCCACTTTGTTTCATCACAAAAACCAATACTATTGAATATGTTTTCAAACAGTTTCACCTTTCTTTAACCTCACCCACAGTAGAATACATAGAAGAATAACATTTAATATTAATGATTGCACATTAAATGTTGTGATTCTGCATCTCAAGGCTAATCTAAGAAAGTTGCTTAATAAATTAACATGCACATTCCAACACAAGATTACATATATATAAAAAAGTACTTGCCGTTCAGTTTCATCAGCGACTTGGGATGTTTCATCTAGTTGTTGAGTAGATACCTTCAATCTTTCTTCAGACTTCTCCAGAGTTTCTTCCAAAAGTTGAACCCGCTTGTTGAGAGTAGAAACTTCTAATTCAGCCTTATAAAAATTAGGAAAAAATCCATGTTAGTCAATATGTTCTATGAATAAGTATTTTTTCATCAATATTTATGAATGGCATTATGATAACATTAGACCCTGATATTAGGAAAAGCCCCAACTAAACTTCATTACCTCCTAATTCATTCATTTTGACTCTTGCCAGTACAAAGTGTCAAAACAATCTTTTATTCCAGTAACAAGTAGATGTTATGATAAGAAATAGAATATTAACACCATTTTAAATCAGCTATTGCATGACATAATAAACACATATATTTTTTCATAACCAAGTTCTATGATCCCATGCATTTGTTACAGGTTACCAGAGGAGTTCATTCAAATATTTTGGATACATGTTCCAGGACTACAAGATGTCCTCTTCTTGCAAAGACTTCCTCATTGACATTTCAAGTCAAATCATGGAGCCCAAGGTGGACCTTTGCCTGCAAAACTAAAGCCTTAAACAAACAGCTTGTCAGTTTTTGTTCTCTAATTGGAAAGATTCTTGGAATCATTCCCATGCTTAGGAAGAGTGATGGCAAAAGTTGGGAAATTAATATATTACTGATATAAAACATTAATGGGGCAATTCATTATTGGCCGATTTACAACTAAATGCAGTACATCAGTGTCCAAAGGTTATAATGCTTTATCTGTCAACTGTCAGTGAAGTCAACTATGAAGAAGTTTTATTAAGAATGCACCATCATTTAGTAAGTACCGATTTTATTACTTAACTAAAATGATAGTTTTTGGTATTCCTTGGTAAATAGCTTTTCAAAATTAGTCATCAGTTTATCAGAAATTGTCTAAATTAAAGGCTGGTCCTTGAAACAGGTATTGTTTTGACCATCTGTTGTTCAGTGCACTTCCATTTGCACATGGTTAATGACATTTCTCAATTCCACACAATGAAATATGAAACATGTTATTTGCTATAAAAATTTTTACTAAAAAACACAATTTATTAATTAAAATGCATGAATGAATATAATAAAAAAGTCACATTTACAATAAAAATTTACAACTTGATTGGTAATTTACCATACTATAATTTTCTAATAATTTGATGGATTTTTTCAAGGATCATACTTTTAAAAAGGGATTAAAAACGTAGACCATTTTGTGCTCCATACTACGAACTTTATTCTTGTAAACAACGGAAACTGTTGCTACACCGGTAATAACGTTCATTCTAAAAGAATTCCATCGGTCGTCTTGAAGTTCAAATTTGATAATCAAAAGTTTGAAGAGTTAAGAGGAAAAAACGTACAATTTTAATACTAAATAATACTATTAAAATGGGAAACACTTTGGATAATTTAAATTTTATTTTTGAAACTAAAAGGAAATAGTATATTTAGTTTTCTTTTGTACTAGTACTACACCAATAATACACTACACCATCGTAAATTTTAATTTCATACTTAGGCCTATACTAAAGTATTAGTAATAAAATCTACATGCGGTAACCAGTGTTGGTATAGCCATGGGCATTACATTAGGAACAACTTTTAAATGTTTGAACTCACAAAAAGTTGAGCTAACATCAACACTACAACTTTAATAAGTAAGTTGTGACACTGAACTTCATAGGCCAAGAGCCTAGGACATAAATTACATCTTATTAATTAACCCATACTGCATGTTTAAAACACGTTAAAAATAAGTAATATAAAACTTAACACAACAGAAAGATATCCAAAGAAATTAATCTATCTAATGCATTATACGGTTTATAATGCCAAATTATAACACCTGGCCAAAATCACTTACTTGCTCTTAGCATTTATACAGGCTAACAGCTTTGCTTAAGCCTTAAAATTAAAAAAAAAGGTGAGCACTCAAGTTTGAACGTACTTCCTCGCGTTTCTTGGTTTCTTCATTAAGTTGCACTTGTGTCTTTTCGAGTTCTTCTTTTTTGGCTTCTAATTCGTCTCTTGCTAATTTCATTTTTTTCATTATCATCTCTAACACCGGTTGTTGCAGTGAAGTAGACATTTTATTTCTATTTTTGTGAAGAACAGTCAAATAAACAAAAAATGCAGTAGCTACCCTCGTCTAGATCGGATATTCGAACTAACAGAAACGTGCCGAAATCACTATAAAAGTGCAATACTACTACTTGCACCAATCAAATTAATAACAACACGTAATTGAGCCACGCTGTGTTACGTATTAACATTAATTTATTAGCAATACAACATATAAAAAACTGAGAAATATGATACGCATTTATATGTCACTCTTATAGATATATATATATATATTATACATGGTGTTATTATGAGCAAATAAAAGTCACGAACCCTGCAAGTTACTTAGAATTATTTCATTAATAACTGATCTGATATATCTATAAAAATGACAAATAAATACA